CATTTTTGCATGTCCAGACCCCTTTTTGAAAGGAGCCCCCTCCTCAAATATGGGATCTATTGTAAAACCATTGGCTGGCGCAGTGTAGGTCAGACTCATCTACAGCCCTGCCAAATTTCATGTTGATTGGTCCAGCCGTTTTTGTGGTACGGTTGACCAAAAATCTCTGGAGAAAAAAAATAAAATAAACGGTACGAAAACAATATGACTCCTGCTTATGCTTCTCATGCGGGGGTCATAATAAACAGTGTGTTCACAGATTAGAAAAATAAATAAATTTTATGGGGTTTTAAAGTGATCCATGACCGGTCAGCTGGTACAAGTTGAAACAGTCTAAGTGTGGCCACTAGTTTGTCAACAGGTACACCCCTGGTCGTAAAGTTTCAGCTTTTTTCTTTCCCTGAAACTCTCAGCTCGTGGCTCGTCCAGATGTGGTGGAGATGCACGATGTGACGGCTCAGGAGCCCAAGCTGCTGGTCCACCTGAAGGCCACCAGGAACACCGTGCCGGTACCGCGCCACTGGTGCTTCAAGCGGAAGTATTTGCAGGGCAAGCGAGGTATAGAGAAGCCCCCGTTTGAGCTGCCAGAGTTCATCAGGAGGACAGGAATCCAGGAGATGAGGGAGGCTCTGCAGGAGAAGGTAAGAAGCTCTTTCAGTCATCTTGTAAGAAAAGAAACAATAGTTACTGAAACTGTTACGGTTGTCTTCTCGCAGGAGGACGCCAAAACTATGAAAACTAAAATGAGAGAGAAGGTTCGTCCAAAGATGGGGAAGATCGACATCGACTACCAGAAGCTCCACGACGCTTTCTTCAAATGGCAGATCAAACCCAAACTCACCATCCACGGAGACCTTTACTATGAGGTGCAACATTCACATTTCTCTGCACAAAACCTAAAACGAAAGCTTGTATCTGTGGACAAGTCTCAGCCTGTTTGTGCTGTGTGTGTTTGTGTCTTTAGGGTAAAGAGTTTGAGACCCGTCTCAAAGAGAAGAAGCCAGGAGATCTTTCTGATGAGCTGCGAATCGCTCTCGGGATGCCCGTGGGACCGGTGAGCTCCTTTACAAGAAGCCACAAGTTAGCTTTGAGATGAAACAATCATGTTTACTCTCTCTCTGTCTTTGTTAGAATGCACACAAGGTGCCCCCTCCCTGGCTCATAGCCATGCAGAGGTACGGACCCCCTCCCTCGTACCCAAACCTCAAGATCCCTGGACTCAACTCGCCCATCCCAGATGTAAAAACACGATGCTGCGAATTCATATTTCTGTCTGAACCTGAATATTCACATGGAAAAAGCACATTAATTATGTACCTGTGTGTGTTTTTGTTCAGAACTGCACCTTCGGTTACCACGCCGGAGGCTGGGGGAAGCCGCCGGTCGATGAGATGGGCAAACCACTTTACGGGGACGTGTTCGGGACAAATTCAGCTGACTTCCAGGTCAGGACAGGACGACACAACTTTCTCCTTTTTTTTCTAATTATTGTATTTATTCATGTATAATACAATCTCATGTATAATACGATCATCATTTTTTCAGCTAAAAAGGATTAAAAATCTAATTATCAATAACCCGTATATAATACTACTCCCCCACTTTATGGATGATATTCAAGGTTAAATTTCTAGTATTTAGTATATACATGAATAAATACAGTAACTTAAACATGGAAAAACCTGCTGAACACAAATATAAAGTAAACACAAGTAATAAAATGTTAACAGTTAAAAAAAACAAATGCTGTTAAATAAGCACAAATATTGAAGTGCAGTTTTTAATGATTTTTTATTGGTTTTGTCAAAAAACCCATAGAAACCACATCCAAAAATACCTGACTTTGTGCAACTCAGTCAGGAGTACTGTGTAGTAGGAATGTGCGATATGGCAAAAACTTCATATCACGATATACATTATGATGAGTGGCAGTAACGATATATATCACGATATAAAACTTATAATAGAAGATAAATAAATCACGTACTAATTGAGTGGAATGAATAAATATGTATAGGTTAAAAAAATTTAGACCTTAAAATCTCCTTTTTAGGGGAAACTTTAAAGTCTCCCATAAAAATCTAAATTTAAGGGAGACCTACCTGGTTAAATCAGATATACAGTATATATATATTACACACACACACATACAGTAATTGTAATGTAATAGATATCTGCATCCATTGGATGTTGTGTTTGGAATCATCTGCTTCATTTTAAGGTGGTAAAACAAATTGCTTGTATTTATTCCTTTCTACACACTTTGCAGATTACTTTCTCTGCACTCCACGTGTTTTACTCTGTGCGCACTGCGGCGGGGTGACAATCATCCCGTTCGTGCTTTACAGGTTTTTTTTTAATACAATCACGAGACAGTCACCCTTTCCCACAGCATTTCCCTGCTGTACGATGAGGCAGCATGGCGCTATGACCGCAGGAGAAACGAGGTCCATTAGACTCRGCGAGCTTTTGTGCTCTCAGCCACGCTGCTTCTCGCTTCCTTGGCAGCCGGTAACGTCATCAAAAAGAATTACCGCGGTTGACCGGTAGACTACAGATCTCTATCATAGGACAAATTTATATCGTTTCTACCGTATATTGTTTATATCGCGCATTCCTACTGTGTAGGGATGTCCCGATCAGATACTCAGTATTGGTGGCACATATGGCCATTTGAAAAATGAAAATAAGGTAGAATCAGTTTTAGTCATGTGATCAGGCCAATCCAGTTTTGTTTTGTTTTAAAGTGTAACTTACCCCCCTGTGAAAAGATATCTCCGCCCCAAGGCGAAATTTGAAAAATGCCTCAAAGTGGGTAGGGGAG